GCCCGGCGGGCGTGCGGCTGCGAGGGGTTGACGAGGAGGGCGAGGAGGAGGGCTCGGAAGACGCGTGGGCGCAGCGGGCCGGCGGCGGCGGTGTCTATGGCGCGGCGGCGGCGGCGGTCTGGGACTTGCCGGGCGACGACGGTCCGGGGCAGCGGCAGCAGCGGCGGCGGCTCTCGAGTGATGGACCTGAGCAGCAGCACCAGCAGGAGACACCGCAAGGGGCGGCAGCTCAAGGCCAGCAGAAGCAAGCTGAGCAGGCAGCGGTGCAGCAGAACACCACAGGTCAGCAGCCACAGGAGCAGGCCCTCCCGAAGGAATTCGTGTTTTACGATTTCTGGGTGGCTCGGGACCTGGCGGGTGGCAAGTTTGGCGTCAAGCACCCGCCCTTCGTCGACCACGCGGCGTCGCGGCAGCGGGGCACGGCGGGGCTGCCCTTCCCCGTCCACTGCTGCTGGAACGGCATGGCGATGGTGCGGGCCCCTGTGCCTTGCTGGGCGGGCCGCAGCAAGTCCTCACCAGATATGAAAGGATGGCAGCTGAAGGCCTGCAAGCATTGCAGCGCAGCCTAGCCACCCCCTGCCGCTCACGCTCCGCGCACTCTCTTGCAAGCATCATGCAGTGCGAAGATTGATGCACCCGTTGCCCCAGGAGGGCGTCCGCCAGCCCTCCACCGTTTCAAACGCCCCGAATCTGCCACCTTGTGCTGCGCAGGTGGGCGCGGAGGCGTTCCGACGGGGGCTGCGGTTCAGGAGCCACCTGCCTGGGGAGTGCATGGCGTCAGAGTGCAGGTGCGCTTTGGTGCGCACGGCTGGTTGATATCTGGGTTGCACAGCATGGTACCCGTCAAGCACACTCAACAGCAAAGTCCACGGGCCCTTGGGCTGCTGTGCATGCAGTTGCGGTGACCCACTCTTTCTGGGACGGCACATTGCTGCATTGTTCACAAGAGTTTGCGCACATGCCTTTCAGAATATGGGGGCCTTTAATTCGGCCTCCGCCTACTTAGGGGCTCCTCCGCCTGGGCGCCTTGCAGCCCCAACCCCAAACCAACACAACCCCCACACCCCCCTCGCTGTGCAGCTTGTTGTGCGACGACATGCACAGGGCCGGGCTCAAGAGGATCGTGGTCGACCCCATGGTTGTCACCACCTACCAGCAGGAGCCTAAGGCCGCGATCTACGCCAAGGAGAACCTCTGGTCCGAGGTTACCAAGATCAACGCAACCTCGTGGAAGGACGTCTCCTCGGCGCCAGCGATCGACTGGTCGGATGCAACATGGCGCGTAAACTACACGCAAGTAGAGTGCTGCGACCTCGCGCCGGACAGGGACCAGGTCGACTGGAGCAAGTGCCGCAGGCAGGACCTGATGGCTCCCACCGGGAACTTCACCGCAAGGTTCGCGAAGCTATGCGACGTGCCGTGCGAGCGGCGGCAGCAGCTGCTGGGCGCGCTCACCCGGCGGGGGCGGCCGTCGCACCGGGTGGGGCAGCCGGGCGCCGCGGGTGGGGCGGGCGGCGGCGGCGGCAGCAGCGGCGGCGGAGGTGGCGGCGGCAGCGGCTTGGTGGAGCAATGGGTGAAGCCCAAGGGGGAGCAAGAGGAGCTGGTCGCTCTGATGGCCTACTGCCCGACCTGTAGCGTCTGACCGGCATCACCCGGCTTGAAAATCATTCCTCCATTGCTCCTTGAGCGGGATGAGACGCATCTGGCTGTACTGCAGCTGCAATGTGTTGACTCGGTGCAACTTTGGATTGACCGTTACACGGACCGGCTGTGGCTGCCTGCGACGCGGACTATGTCATTCATTCATGGCGCACGGCTGACTTCATCACCCCATTGCACGACAATGCACGCGCGCGCACATACACACATACAACACACACATACACACACACATGTGTGCGCGTGCTTGCGCGCCTCATTGCTGCCTGCCCGGCGGCCGAAACCCGGTCGCACAAGAGATAGCAAAGCACACGAAGTGATGACTTTTCACTGCAATACCGACCAATTGGCCAATGCTGCGCGTTTCGTGACCGTTCGAATCCAGCGTCGCGCCTCGGCCGCCGCAGCTGCGCGCAGCCGCAACCGTGTGCGGCCCTGCTGTGCAACAGCTGTTTTATTCCTTTCAACCTCAACTGCAGGGCCTGTGCCCGGGACTGATGACATCAGCAAATTGCCCGCTTACTGATTGTAGGGATGACACATAGGCGATCTGAAACGCTCGTCTACCAAACTCCCTGATTTCGGGCTTATTTCTGCCACGGGGCTCCTGTAGTCGATGCCGTTGCTCAGAGCAATGTCCGCGCACACTTTGTGGAGGGCCGCGGCAGTTCAAGCAGTGCTGGTCGGAGCACACAGCAAGAGCTTTCCGTCAACTTCCGGCTCTTCATGGATTTCGTGGCTTGCTGCCCACCTGACACACCACTGTCACTAGTCCATGTGGAAGCTCTCTGTTTGCATTCGCCCCTGGCCTGGGTAGGACTGTTGGTGACTATGTCACAAACAGCACCCCCCATTGGTAACCAACCCTGTCCCGGCTTGGACCCCTGGAGTCGTTCGTGCACATCAGACAGTCCTAGGGGCATGCAGAGCTCCTGATACAGCACTTGATGGTGCTGTGAATTGGCGACCCGGGGCCTGGCACCGCATGGCGGGATCAGGTGACGTGCAGCTGGTTCATTACACGAGCCCTTGTCGACGCGCCTCAGCGACTGAATGTGGATGCGCAAAATACGAGGGGATTGGGGTCATCTACCTTGGCCTGCAACAGCAACACCATCAACTCTGCCCTGCGGTGCGCCCGCTCACTGCATCCGCGAGTCCGCGCCCCCCAGCTCAAGAGCAGTTTGTCAAGTGATTGGTGTCTGGTCCACTGGCACACGCAGTCGCACAGAAATAAACTCAAGATCGAGTTTCGCGCTTCATATGTGCATGACACGGACAAGGGCTGCAGTAGACGCACGCTGATCTCATGGCAATGTCATGCAGTGATCGTGCAGCTGTCTGCTCTGAATTGATCAGGAAGCATCTAGGTTGATGAAGTGAATCAATCGTTATAGCAACCCCAGTCGCAGCAGACCTCCGGGCCGCGCGGCCCGTCGCCCGCGCGTGTGCGCATTGACGCCGCGCGCCCGCCGTAGCGCCGCGCGGCGCCGCGATGGTGGAGAGCGAGCTGGCCGCGGCCGGCCCCTTCCGCGCGTACGACGTGGAAGTCGTGGCGGACCAGTTCGCGCGCAAGATCAACGCCCTCTGCGTGTGGGGGCGGCAGCTTCTCGCGGGCGTCGGGGACGGCAGCCTGCTGTTCTTCGAAGAGCCGCCGCCGCGCCCTGCTGAGGAAGCTTCTGGCGGCGGCAGCGGCGGCGGCGGCGGCGGGAGCGGCGCGCCGGCGGGGCCGGCGCCGCCGTGGCAGGTGACGCGGCTGGAGAAGGGTTTCTGCAAAAAGCCGATCCTGCAGCTGGAAGTGGTACTTGAGGGCGAGCCCGCGGGGCCGGCCTTGATCTGCCTCACAGGTGCGGTCCCCGGCCAGCAGGCGCGCATGGGCGCCTGCAGCCCCCTTGCAGACCCCGCGGCGCGCGCGCGGCGGCGGCCGGGACGCGGCGCGGCGCGACGCGGCGCAGGGCTGCCGACAAGCTTGATAGCGGGCGGCTGAGGGGACCGTCTTGAGTCGCGCTCAAGACACTGCATGTTTGAATTCCGCTGTATTCCAACATTGGCAACCCCGTGACCTGACCATTGGAGCGTCCTCAATGTACTCGCACCCCGCGGCGCGCGATAAGCCATCCGCACACCTCATCAACCCCCTCCCCCAAACAC